CACCAGGATCCCTTCACAGGGCACCACATATTGGAAAGATGCGGATGGATGTTCAGATCCCATAGGAGATCCATAATTGTGGTACTAGGCTTTTGTAATACTGTTGATGACATCTTACTCAAAGCTTCAAAGTTTTTCTCGTCATGTAAATGTTGTTGTCACCAGAGGGCTAGATATTTCTTGTTTTTTCTGTTGCATGTTATAAGTACGTGCAGATACAGAGCGCAAGGAAGAAATTAAAATAAATTAGTAAAACTGAAGTTACACTGCATGATTGTTAGTTTAGTCATAATAAGCAGTATCTAAAGCGAGTTTCACAGTGGTATTGTAACAACAGAGATAAAGAAAAAGAATCTGTCAAAGGGTATTCTAAAGTAATTGAACCCACCAATGTGGACTTAGATGAAAAGGAGACAATTATTTAAAACACTGTATACAACTGTGGTAACCCTGTGGTTAGTGATAAAAGAATAGTAAAGAATAATTTGTCTTGTCAATTGGGTTCTGAAGTAATTTAACCAGCCTTTGTGGACTTTTGACATAAAAAAAAAGAATTATTTAAAGCTCTGGATACAACTGTTTGTAACCTACAGGGTAATGTAAGTGAATCTATCACTGATTCTATTGTGATAAAAGAGGGGAGAAGAAATAATTCATCTTGTCAATTGGATTATAAAGTAACTGAACCAGCCTGTGTGTACTTTCACCATAAAAAAAAAAAGAGAGAATTATTTAAAGTTTTAGATACAACTGTGATATCCTACAAAAGAATTTCTGTACATATAGTTGACTTGTTTTGGATTGTGTGCTGTCCGTTTATTATTCACATTTAGTGCAAACACTTACTGTAAAGAATCCCAGTCCATATAAAAATCTGACAAACATATTCAAGAGAGGCATTCCATGTAATTTTCTTGGATCATCCATGCAAATGGATAAATTCATGAGAAAACCATGCATTTGAGCCTTGAAATCATTCTTATCATACTTCAAATAGCTAGAATCTCACATTGAAACAATGGAGGGACTAGTGCAAATGTTACGTAGATGACCACCCTTCAGAAAGTGTCCAAAGAGCGTTCATGGAGTATGAAATCAGTTAAGAGAGGAACACACCCGCGAGAGACCATACCACATTTGTAGCAGATATACTCTTCAACCAATGAGGTAGTAGATGTTGCAGAATTGGGTGGAAATGAGTAGGAGCACATTCAGCAATGTATACATGTTGGTTGGTTCAGCTCAACACCCAACACAAACACCTGGGAATCAACATCCAGGAAATGGCAGGATGGAGGGTTCCCAACCAAATTAAGTACTAATGGGGAAAACTAAATGGATGTGTCCCACAGTGTAGAATTGCTAAGGTGTGTCAGACTATCCTTGGTAGGTCAACTCCAGTCCAAAACCAGGCATACACTGAAGGGCTTGCATGTGAGTATGACCCAAGAGCACTTTCATGGAAGCCCATGTCCCCAATTGTGAAAGAACCTCACATGCAGTGAGAGTAGGTGTGGTAAGGGCTTTGGTGACTAAAAGCTCCATTGATTGTAGATGAAGGGAAGAAGGTGGGGCCCAACTAAGGTAGGAGTTGAAAAATACTCCCAAGTGGATGAAATACTGGGTCAAAAGCAACGGTGTGTGTTGTGTGCTATCTGATATGATAGAGCCAGCAGGAGCCAGTTGTCCATATAATGATGAAAGCACAAGCCCCAACTATAGAGTAGTCAAACAAAAGCCTTGACCACTCAAGAAAACACAAAGTACAGTGGCCAGCCTGAGGGGCAATGCACAAAACTGGTTAACCCATCCCTTGTGAACAAACCAAAGATACCATCTGGACTGTGGATCAATGAGGATGTGGAGGTGAGCATCTGAGATGTCTACCTTGGTTATCCACAGACCCAGAGTTAATGCCCATTGTAGAGTGAGAAAAGACTCCATGTCTTTTTCATGGGAAAATGGAGGTCTATGAAATGGTTGAGCTGAAACAAATCTATTACGGGATGCAAGTAAATAAACAACCTGGAAAGGTTTTAATGACTGGTTCTATAGCATCATCGAGTAGAAAAGTCTGAACCACCTTGGAGAGATGCTGGAAAGTTATGGGATCCCAAGGAGGAGGAAAGGACACCATAACGGATGATAACAGAGAAGGGAAGGAAGAGACCATTGGACAGCACCTGAAGAACCCAAGGATCAGAAGTGAACTCCTGCCATTGGTGAACAAATCAGAACAGGCATGCATCTACCCTGCCAGAACCCACTGGGTAGTCACTGGTACCATTTACACGTGTCTTTTTTGCAGTGAAAAATACAATAATTTATCTTGAAACCCTGGAGAGAGGAACAGCTAAAAGTTGAGAAGGAGTGAGCTGGGAAACAAGAGTGGGAGCAGGGATAAGTAAAGGCTGAGACAACCTGGAAACCAAAGAAGAATTGGAGAAATTTTGTTGTACAGCTCTACCCATAACTTCAGAGACATCTCAAAAAATGAGATGTGTGAAAAAATGGTGCCCCACAAAGGTCATGCATAAAAGTAATGGGTAAGCTCACCTGAGACAAAATGCATTCCTACCTTGGAGATACCAGCAGCAGAGGAACCATGTTTGGAGGGCAAGGACAGAAGAGGATAAATGCACCAAAGTGGAAAATATGAGGGTGTGGGTCTCCTCCGAAAACTTCTCAGGTTATCAGTGGATAGCCTCAGTCAGGAGATGCATAATAGACAGGTATCTGAGGATAAGAGGTTTGGGTCAGTCTGAGTTTGGAGAATTTGGTCTGGAAGAACCTAACCAGAGAATCAGGGTTGGCCCTCTACACTTGCATCAAAGACTCCAAATGTTTCAAGTCTAGGAAAGGAAAGTCTCATTGGAGATAAGCCAAAGCAAAATAATTTAAAGATCTAGGGGATGAGGCATGCTGGATCCTGCACATAATTGTGCTTAGAGCTGGTCAGCATGGATCCTGATGAATGAACCTTGTGTAAAAGGGAAGGTGCAGGGTCATATGAGATGGGAAACACAGACAAAAGGTAACATACCTGTGAAATCATGTCCAAAAAGGGTGAGGGAAGCCTGGCAGACAACCATAGGTGACACAGGGGATTTCATGGTAAATGATAGGGTGGGGGGGGGGGGCACTAAATCCTTGTCCTGAAGATCAAGTACTTCTGGAAATGGAAGATCTTGTCCAGGTTCAGGAGAAGCTGAATATTTCATGCAGTGTTCAAGCTCCCGTTGAACTAAGGCCGGGGCCTCCCCAGCCAAAAGTGTAGAACCTAAAACCTGAGAAATGACATTCAAAGTTGTAGTAGTCACGCTAGTAGTTATTGTGATATGAAATTCCAAATTAATGGTTGAACAGAGATCAATTCAATAAATTAAATGGTGAAAAGAAAAAAACAACAGATTTAAGTTTACTTCAACTTAAGTTGTAATTGAAATACTGAACTATTTCAAATTATTACTTTGAGAAAAATAAGTTATGTGAGTGCATATGTGAAATGAGAAGTGAAGGTTAGGCTGAATAGTATAGAGGGAATCACCTGTTTCAGGAGAATGTATTGTGCTCCTATTAGTGGAGGGTTGCCACATGCTCATCTGCATGCAAAGATGCAGTAGAACCACATTGAATGTGGGGTAAGTGGGAATTTTAAGGCTAGTAACAAGCAAAACAATTTATGCATCTAGAGGGCAGCACTGAATGAGAGAAGCTATTTGTGAGAAATGGTAAGACACCGTATCAGAATCTTCACTAAGCTGTTGACTCGATAATAAACAGTTATAGATAATACATGTAAACTATTTGTTCTACAATAATGAACACTATGATTCATATGAGAAACAAAGTGTAATCAGACTAAACACAGATTCACAAACTCAATGACTATGTTTGCATCAAACTTTTAAATCCACTAATATATTTTAAGCACTTCAACTGGAAAAAATAAACTTTCATAATGTTTCCCAAAATGGATTTCCTTTTTGTTTGGTGAAACTGTAATAAAACCAGCCTCACAACACAATAACCACTTACAGCAGATAGTTTCAATGTACCTAAAGTTTCAGTAAACAAGTTTTTTGTTTGGTGAAACTGTAATAAAACCAGCCTCACAACACAATAACCACTTACAGCAGATAGTTTCAGTAAACAAGTTTTTTGTTGGTCACTAGACAACATGTCTTTATTTTAAATAGGAAATTATAAAAATATATTACAATCAGGCTATCCTCAAGCTTCTTATTTTCATATATAATGTCTAAAATCTTCTTTCATTAAATAAATATTTTTGTTTTTTTCACAAGAGTCCTATACATAAGTATGTTTTTGATAAGCACAAGTTAACTCACAAGTTAGCTCACTGAGTTCATGTTGAATTTATGGTATGTTTCTTAACTGCATGTATAGAATAACATATCCAGTTTCATTATTAATTAAGCCTTGACATGCCTTTGCTTTTAATTCTGACACTTACTCATGGTATAAATTTTAAAATGATTGGAGAAATATTTTGCACTTTATTACATTGAAACTAACAATGAGCAATGTTAGCTATGCACAACTGTTTCATTAAAATTTAATACAAAAGTTATAATTTAGTATTTTTAGAAGCGATAATTTATTACAGGTTTGTAGGTTTGCTTATGTAACTATGTACAAACTATATGTTGTGTAATTCACTGACTTACATCATGTTACAAGAACCTTTTAAGTTTTACTCATTGTTTCATTGAGTAAACAAGTTTAAAAAGACCAAGTTAACAGATACTGAATTGTTTCTTTCAGCTAAATTTTAAAACTAGTGGTGTGTTACACTTTGGTATAACAAACATTTCTGTTTCAAGCCTACTCATGTTACTATGGCAAAACACTATAAAAGTACACACTTAAAGATTATCTTTTGTATTTCTTTTATAGCAACAGTTCTCTTAAGCATTAACTAAGCATTTTATACAAGAAACAAAAAGTACAGGAAATTACATGCAAAAATTACTTACCTTTTTGTCGCAGAAATTACAAAGAGTTGCTGAATGAAAGTGGGTACCAATAAAATCATGGTTTACTGATATGATGCTGTAAAAAAGCACATATGTATATTTTCAAAATTCTTCTGTATGGTTTATTTGGAGCATTTACCTCCTGCATTGTTTTTCATTATGTGATATCATGTTACATATTATTGTGAATATATCACAGTCATAAGTCTAATTTACAGTAATTGCAAAATAGTTATTTTTGCTGCTTAAAATCCCAATAATTCGATTTCAATATTTTTTAAGAAAAATGATGCATTGATATTTTTTAAAGAGGACAGTGTATAATGAAGGGAAATGACATTAAATGTGTCAAAACTTCAGCATTTTATTAATATAAGCTGCTGTAAAATATGGTCAAGCTAATTTCCTTAACCATATCATATTTTCATATAGCACTGATTTTTCCTAAGACTGACAAGGTAAGTTCACTGAGTAACAAGAGATTATTCAAGATATTTACTACAAAATAATTCTGTATTTTCTGACTAATCAAGTTTGTGAGAAATAGAGAGAAACTGAACATAAATGTATGACCAAATAAATACCGATAAAATGTATTTTACTTTCACAATGGACAGCACCTTCAAAAGAGTTAACTATGAGGTTATTTCTAGTTTATCCCGATAAGGTTGTATACAAGACTAATATTGTTGAGATCTTGTTCAAGGATGAATATACCCTTGGTTACTTACTTGATTCTTTAACAACAGACTTACCTAGAGGAGCTATTACTACACACATGACTGGTCATTCCTAATGAAACATAAGAAAGGTCATAACCTCAAGAGAACACCTGACTGCCAATGGAAGAGATAACTGTCTAATTATACATACTGTGAGAGACCTTACAACTATCTTTTCCAAGGGAAGAAAAAAAGATGCTAAACTTGGCGAATGACATAGAACAATAGGTAGCAACATTCTTGGCTAACATGTAGAAACTACACAAATAACAATTTTTGAAAACTTTATATATTAATACAAGGAGGTAAAAAACACATGGTATGCTTAAGGGGTGTTGCAAAATAAATCACACTTTTTTCCTGAAGTAATGATGAACTTGGTAGGACCGCGAATATCATCACTCATGAGAAAAGGTCATTACAACGTAAGCTTGGGTGTTTGACTCTTCGATTTTCATTTTTTGCAAAAACTTTTGAATCATGGTGCTCACTAGAACTCAAGTTCATGTTGCATGTGCTGCCTTCAGGATGGCTCAGAAACTAGTTGCAGACATGCTCTGAGAATTCAAGTCTTCCAATCGACTGATCGCAATGCCAGATTTGAAAAATCCAATTAATGCCTCAAAAGTTTCAGAATTGTTGAATTTGAAAGAGTGGACCATGAAAAAGTGGTGGAATGTGGATTGGGAACTCTACAGATTTAAATCCCACTGAAAATGTTGGACATTTTGCCTGAATGTGAGAGACACAAACATGAAACCTTGATTCGTGTTCTCACAGAGACAACCACAAAAACAGACATGTTTGTTGCATTGCTGAAATCTTTTGCAAATTTATTAAAACTCATGCGTGAGAACAATGGTGGCCCAGTGAAGCCATATTGATACTTAGAATTACTTTTTTAATTGAATTAAAATCTTATTTTACTTTGTTATACTCTCGCGAAAAAAGGTGTGATTTATTTTCCAACACCCCTTATATACCACAACCCTCCTAATACTGAAATATCAAATAGTTATATATGGTCAAGATGGTTTATGTGTTTCTCAATTACTGTAAGGCATACGTATGTGACGTGTGGAAAAAAATTATCCAATGATTAACATCTAATTAACTATTACAAGATAAAGTAAAAATGTATGACCTCGTACAAAGACTTTGAGTACATAATGCACCTATGATGGCAATTAAAGGGTAGTCATAGTAATGCTTGCACACACACAACTATAAAGATTACAGTTGGCTGTTTTACTACCTCAATTACAATTTTTCACATATTAACAAGATGCATGAAGAAAATTAAAAAGCAGTAGTTCCTTAACATCAGAAATAGCAAATGTTTTGAAAAAATGGCTCCTCAGAAATCAAAATAAATAAACTCAATATCATCATGAAAAGTACATCTAAATTTGAATTCCTACCTATCATTTCCAGTTTCAGCAAATAAACCTTCATCTTCAGACTCTGGAGCTGAATCACAGTACATTATTTCAGGTGGTTTGTATGGGTATTTCTCTGGGATTTCCTGAGGTCCAAAATTTGAATTTCTTTTAAGCTCAGATTCTTTGCTCCCTACCAATACTTTTTTGGATGATTTTGACAAAACGTTATTTTTGTCCTCTTTATTCGGTTTGATTTCAAAAGTCAAAAGAATATCTCCATAACACAAACAAGGGTCAAAACCAGAATGAGTTGCATACCTCTGTAACTTTCTGTATAACAAAAATATATAAATATAGATGTTTATATAAACTATACATATATTTAACAAGAATAACAAATGAGTTAAAAAACAATGATCTCTGACAAACCTAGGCTATACACTTTTTATTAGGTAAAACAGAACATGACAAAATTGGAAATCTATGATCATTAAACTTTTAGAAAAACAATATCAAGAATTATTATTAAACATCAGTTAAATAAACAGACAGTTGTAATATTTCTCTCTCTCAGTGTCATTATACAGCAATTTTTTTAAAAATTACATGTTTACTTTCCTATTGTCTTTTAGTGAAGTATTTTAAAGTAACATGCTTAGCAGTAAGACAGGCCTTGACAAATCCTGGGTGCCAGGTTACCATGGTGACTAAAAATTTTGAGCTTGGTGCCTAGTATTTTCTCCCATTTTATTCTTATATAGGGATTTGTTAAATAGAATTTGAATCTAGAACAGTTCTGGACTCTTCAAAGCCTAGAACTATTTTTGCATTCTTTGAGTCCGAAACTGAACTTTGTTTCTAGGATTTTAATGGCAGATTCAGCACTTCTTCATATTTTTTTCAAGAATGAAGCATTGCAGTTATGCAACAAATTACTAATTTCTCACCATTTTGTTTTTCTTCTTTCTCTAAATTCAACCAATCAGTGTGCATGTTTAGACTCGGATGGACCAAAGGCAGTTAGTTCAGGCAATACTATCAAGTGGTTGTTGATATCAGGTGATTGTTAGTCATTGGCTGTAATTGTAAATAAAAATAGCCTCTATTTCCCAGTACAAACTATAGTGGAGTTAGGTTAGGCACACCAAAACACTTTTGCTTATTGTTGTACACTGTTGTAGTGATGAGTAGATTAGACCTATTCAAAAACAACATGCTTGGCCTATCAAGATCATAGTGATTTTTTTATTTTACTTTCATTCATTGCAAGAATCCACATAAGTGTTATTTAGTCTATTATTTTAATAAATGCACGTAATAAAGTTTAATACTGAACCCTTTGTTTTTTTAGTGTAAAACTGTATGTCTCATCCATAACCATACAACCAACTCAAAATATGCTCCATCACTTTTCTACATCAGACCTGCTACTAGATCTGAAAATATTTATCAAGGCCTGTAGTAAGATACATCATAAAATGTACACCACTAATTTCAGTGTTAAGTATTTTATCTAATAACTTTGCAAAATTACTAATTAATGGTTTTAAGCAGTAACTGGAGAAGTTTGAAGGATGGATGTTGATATATGGTAACCATGTGAATTGCCATTACCAACTGATTCTATTTTGAAAACTAAGATATTTTATTTAAAAAACGAATATTTCAAACACACTTTAATAAAATGAGATTGTTTCCAGTCTCCAAATTACTAAAATAATAACTTACTGTACAAGGTTAAAGAGTGGTAAAATCCCCAATGTGACTGGAAAACTATCTCATATACTCTACATGTTTCAATGTAAATCTTGCATCATCCTCAGGAGTGTAATG